TTTATTCTTTACTATGTAAGAGCATTTAGCTCGAGCGTTTAAGCAGCAATAAACACAAAGTGCTTCAAGCAACATGTTGATGTGTGTGTGTTTATTCGATATAATTATATTAGATCTCGCATTTTAATGGAGTCCATGACAAACCCCAAAAAGGTAAGCTTTTGTACAGGTTCATAGACAGATTTATCTGGATGGATAATAAACCCTGCCAGATTCAACAATTCGTCAGTTTGCAAAACATTATCTTTACATTCTTGCCTAGTGTCACCTTGGAGATACGAGTCATCAATGTAGCTTGCATTAAGATGGCCCAGCTGTCTAAGCATAGCATATATTGGTTTTACAATCTTGGTAAACACTCGTGGGCCAGAAGCTAGTCCATTAGGCAAGCATGTAAACTGGTAAAGTGTGCCTTTCCAGTAAAATTTTAGGTATTTTTTGTAGTTTACGTCAATAGGCACAGAATAATAAGCATCTCGGAGGTCAATCGATGCCATATGGCACCCTGGTCTCATTAGAGCAACAGCCGACTGTAGGGTTTCCATTTTAAAATGGTGATATTCAACATTGGTGTTCAACTCTTTGAGGTTTAATATCAGTCTATGGCTGCCATCTTTCTTGGCACGAATGAAAATTGGGGAAATGAATTCCCCTTGACAATGCTGTGTAACTTCAATTACTCCCTTGCACATAAGTTTATCAATTTCATTGTCTATGAAGCATTGTTCTTTATCGTTAAATTTTGTTTCAGGATTGCGAGATTCTTGGCCTAGTGAGCGACCTTTCTTCGACTTTAAAAGCCCCATTGTCGTTCGCTCCCACAAATTATCCTGCAAATACACCTTGAAATTTTAAGGCCACAGATCGCCTCAGGCTTGAATTCAATTTTATAGCCTGCTATTGTTTCAAGTATGAATTTATCAGATGTCAATTTTTCCCAAAAGTGAATAAATTGTTTCAGTCTACCCCCTATTTTTATACTGTGAGAAAATGTTCGACTTACCTTTTCGGCAGTAGATGAACTCAGTTTGCAAATTTTTTGAACTTGCCTCGTTGATACCTCTTGTTGTGGAAGGGTAGCGACGCACTCGCTACCTGTCTTTCGCCTAAAAAAGGCCTAGGTCGTATGTTACGATTTCGTCCCCGATAACTGTATGCCGGGGCTCTGGCATAAGGTTTGTTGTTATGCCTGGTCATTTTCCGACCGACTTTATTGACCTCTGTAAGGTCCTTGACCTGCTTGGAGAGATCATCCCCAAACAACTGGGAAGACGAAGGCACTGAGGCCGAGCACAAATGCTTGTAATCTTCGTGAAGGTCAGGTTTTATCAACTCCTTTCGACGAATATTAAGCTCAGAATTCGCATGAGCACACAAAGCAATAGCATCAGTCATGCTTTCAACAATCTCCTTCCCCGCGGGCAAGGTGGTCACATGTGCCAGCGCTGTGTCAGTGGCGCGAACAATTGCCGCCATGCCTTTGATCAAAGCCGTTTGTACTTTTTGAAATCGAAGGTCTTGTGACCTAGTATTTGGTTGTAAATTATCCCAAATAAGCTGATTTACCCTCACTTTGGACAATGCTTCGCAGTTTTCTGGGCTTGGATACTTGTTTAGTTTATCTTGGAGTTTTTCTTCTGATAAACCTTTCTGCACAAGTCCGTTCACTATTTCAGCAAGGTCATCGTTAACCTTGGGGCCCGTTTCAGCCGTTTTCATTTCTCCACGTATGCCATCAAGCACACTAGGCTCTTTAGCCTGTTCAGTAGCATTTTGAGTCTTAGCTCGTTCAATCATGCGTTGCACATTAGTGCCGTCTGAGACGTCAGGCTCTTCCTGACTGTGTCTGTCGTTTTGGCGGCCATTTTCGCCATCACTGCCATTAGTTTCAAGTTCTCCTTCTTCTAGTTCTGTGAGAAGTTCGTCCTCAATAGGATCTACATCGAACTTGTCAGAGAAATTTTTAAATGCATTTTCTATCGCCGTAGATAGACTAGTTGCCATTTTAGCAAACCCTTGCTCCAAGGTTTGCTGTAGTTGTGTTTGCTCATTAGAGCGTGAATCGGCTGTTGCCGTTTGTTCAAGCAGACTATGTGGTTCACGCCTCCTGCCGCTTGAACTGGCCGTCTCGCTAGATTCACGGTGGACATCCACCTGCACCTCATTAGAGGTTTTACTTGTCATTATTTAATATTTCAGCAATATTTAAAAATTGTTTCTTCGCTCAACAAATATTCCGACCGTCTCGATCAAGGAACGACAACGCACTGATCTGCTCAGGCGCAATGCTATCTCATGGGAGCCCGCTATGCGGGTGACAAGGTGGAATCATTGTTTTATCTTCAAACTCCCGGAGTTTATCCGCCGTATAGCGATTTAAACGGTCTCAAGAGACCGTATAAGTTTACACGGTGGATAGGCAAAATTTTATAATCGGTGGATAGCCCTAAACGGACTTGATACAACGCGATTTCTCGAGCGTTTAAATTTTATCCGGCGGATAGTGAGTTAAACGGTGGTTAGATAGTGAGTTAAACGCCTTACCCAGGTCGGTAAATTTCATGGGGGGTGCCATCAATACAACCAACAGCATCAGGAAACGAACGACAGTTACCACGCATATTTTCCCATTCAGCAACAGATGGCCAGGTAACCTGGTTACGAAAAAAATGCCATAAAACAGGGACGATTCTATGGATTATAGCTGATACGGTGGAGGGGCTAATATCGAATAGTAGAGCTAACGTATCAACGCAAGGATATTTCCTTAACCATATCACAGTTAACAGGACCATGTTTATAGGACTCAGCTTGCACATTCTCCATCTTCGACGTAGCCTTCCTCTTCTATTCAACCTTTCTAACGCGAACGAGATCTCTGCGGTTATGTTCGCTAGAGTCTCAGGTAATTCCCCAGTGTTCAACCAGAACAGATATCGTTGGTTTTCTATGGCGATAAACAGATCTCTTCCCTGAAAATCAAAACCAAAAGATGCCGGGTCTAGACGTTGCATTATAGGTAACAGTTGGCCGGCCGGAGGTGGACTTAATATTGTCGCCAATAAAAGAAGAACAGTTAAAAACCTCCTCACAAAGTCAATGAGGTTATTCGATACATGAGCAGGTGGCGGATAGATGATGACAAGTGCATTTAAAGTCAAACACATTGCTTGTAGTCAAACACATTGCTTGTATTGCTTACACGGAAAGTTAGAAGTGAGTATGCTCCTTGGATTACAGAAAATATTAAGAAAAGTATGCAAAATAGAGATTATCTTAAAAAAAAGGCCGTTAAATCGGGCTCAAGGAATGTGCACGAAGCGTATAAAAGAGCAAGAAATGAAGTAAACAAGCTCGTTAAAAACACGAAAACTAAATACTTTATGAATGCCCTAAGTGAAAATAATCAAAATCCTAAAACAATGTGGAACACAATTAGGACATTGACAAACAAAAATTCTAAAACAACTAACATCACTGAGATCCACGTTGAGAATGACCACTCTGTTACCGAGCCTAAACAGATTGCTGATGCCTTTAATTCATTTTTCATTAATATTGGTACTCAACTGGCTGATGCTTTACCTGTAACCAACATAACACCAGAATCATTTATCACCCCTGCGAATTCCTCTTTTGAAATTCATACCGTTTCAATTGAAAAAGTATTTAATTTACTTTCCACTATAAAGGTTTCTAAGGCAACAGGACACGATAAAATCTCACCAAAATTGCTGAAAGACTCTGCAGATATCATAGCGCCATCTTTGGTTAATATCTTTAACCAATCTATTAAAACTGGTATCTTTCCTGATGATATGAAAACTGCAGTGATCTCACCTATTTTCAAGTCGGGAAATAAGACAGAGTGTACTAACTATAGACCAATTTCAATACTCTCGGCAATTTCCAAAATCTTTGAGAAACTCATTTCATT